TCACAAAGTTGTCTGTGCCATCATAATGTACCAATATCAATTGTTTTGCCATGGTTTCACTTTTTGACATTAAAATGTAATATTGACATCTCGATATTAATCACTGAGTTTTATTAATACGATTATTGTACATCTCTGACAGAAATACCTACCAATGTTTTTGTGTTACTGTTTACTTGGTTTTTATAATATTATAAAAACTATTGTCACCTTTTATTAATCTGTAGATTTTAATTCATTCTGGTTTATGGAGACAATCAAACAAGTTGAGTTTAATTGCAAGTCAATTCATTTCACCCAAACTAGCCCAATACGCGAAAATAAATAACTCTTAGCATTTGATACTATTGAGAATTTTTATTAATTTAAACCATGGTTGAACTGAGTGAACGTGAAAGAATTACACTATTGATGATTATTGGGTTTGGAGACAGAAAGAGATCTCTGCAAGAAGCTTGTAATTTGTTCAATGAAACATTTCCTGACAGGATTTCCCCGATTTCTAAATCTACAGTATCCAAAAATTTGAGCAAGTTTAATGAAACAGGAAGTGTGAAAAATAATCCCAGATCTGGACGGAAGAAGACAGCCACTGATGAAGAAAATGCACTTAATGTGGTTCTAAGTGTACAGGAAGAACCAAAAACTTCAGTTCCAAAGCTTGCGTTAGACAATAATATGAGCGAGAGATCTGTAAGGAGGATTCTGAAAGTCAATAAATTTCATCCCTATAAAGTGCAATTACACCAGGAATTGAATGAAGATGACCCAGATAGGCGAATGCAATTCTGCCAGGTAATGATGGATGCCATTAATGGAAATAATATGTTGATGAACAGCATTGTTTTTTCCGACGAATCAACATTTTGTCTCAATGGATTTGTAAATAAACATAATTGCCGGTATTGGTCTGATCATAATCCTCACTGGATGGAAGAAGGTCACACCCAATATCCACAAAAGTTAAATGTTTGGGCTGGTATAGTTAGAGGAAGAATTATTGGACCATTCTTCATGAGAGGAACTCTGAACGGTGATCGTTATTTGCAACTACTTCAAGAGCAGATAGTTCCAGAGTTAGTTCGTTTATATCCAAATCACAGAAATCACTTACAACTTTCTGATGAAATTTGGTTCCAGCAAGATGGTGCTCCACCTCATTTCGATGCTAGAGTGAGGCAGTACCTGAACACAATATTTCCACAGAGATGGGTGGGTCGAAGAGGACATATTGAGTGGCCGGCACGGTCACCGGATTTAACCCCACTGGATTTTTTTCTTTGGGGCCATTTGAAATCAGTAGTTTATAAGGACCTGCCACATTCGCTGGAAGAATTGGAATACAAAATAAGAATTGCTGTTCAAGAAATAACACCTGAAGTTTATCAAAATGCCTTAAGATTATTTGTTGATAGACTAGGATATTGTCAGGCAGTTGGAGGCTTTCACTTCGAACACTTACTTTGAGAGATTTGTAATACTTCGATTGATAATAATTATTATTTTTTATTAAATAAATGTTTACTTTCTATTTTGTTATGAACTCGGAGACCCTCAAACCTTACATTAATGGATTCAGAAAGAAAAGATCTATCTGAAAAAAAATATAAATATAGGGTGATTCATTTAAAATTTCATCCGATGACGTCATATCTTGATAAATATGACAGATAATGAAAATCCCCAAGCGTCATTAAATAGTACATAAAATATACAAAAAACTTTATTTGGGTTAATTTTCAATACAATCCATAATTGAGCCACAAATCGGGTGTTCCGCCAATTATGCCCAACCCTGTATATGGAAGAACATATATTTATATTTATTATTTAAATATGCAACCACTCATATTTGCTTACGCCTTATTGGAACAAACCTTATATAAGTAAACATTTAACAAATATATTTTTTTAAATTATATGATTTAATACAATGCATGTATGACAATGACTAACGATCACGTACGACCAGTGCCGCTGAGAGCCAGGCCGGGCCCCAGGACAATTCTCTAGATCGGGCCCCGGGAATTATAGAATTTTTCTCCCTACTTCAATTACTTCTTCTTCTAAAAAAAAAGCTATTCTCCCTACCTCAATTACTTCTTCTAAAAAAAAGGCCTCACATCAAAAAGTTATTATTCTCCCTACCTCAATTACTTCTTCTTCTTCTAAAAAAAAATGCTGTTGTCGGGCCCCCCTTACAGCGCTACCGGGCCCCCATTTGGTCCCGGCTACCCCCACCTCTAGTCGGCCCTGCGTACGACAATGGACGAGAAGTATGACAATGATTAACGAGCATGTACGACAATGAACGAAGAGTATGACTATTTTGTTACCTTTTTATTATTATTTAACAACGAAGACTTACGATGATATACGACAGCGAGACGAAGATCCTCCAGTTCTCCAGACAACGACGATGACTAACGACGACGTACGACAATGAATGAGCAGTATTTTGTTATTATGACCACAAACGACGAGTATTTTGTTACCTTGTTATTATTATTCAACAACGAAGACATAAACGATGACTAACGAGGACGTACGACAATAAAGCAAAGTCTTAACGGAAATGCGTAGGCACCGCTTAACATTCAGTGCGCGCGTTTGTTGTTCAGGTACCAACGATCGCAATCACTGTTAGTATATCCTGTCCTTGTCGCGCAATTTTAATCCGAGAAAGAAAGCGATTAGGATTCATATTAGAAATCAACTCGGGGATTGTGTCAAACGAAGCAGGATTTTTCGCTTCTTGAAAGAGACAGAGACATGTGTGATGTGACTAGGTAAGATTCAAAATTGATTTTCTTTTAATATATCTATCTTTTGATAATTGTACAATTATCTTAATTAAGAAATGTGTCTAATTACCATAATGTATTGTCAAATAATATCTGTTTATAATTGTATCGCGGGGGTCCCGCTCTAAGAGGTAGGGGAGATGTGTAAAATATTATATTTAGGGTTCATGTACTATAGGTAAAATAGTTAAATAATTATTCATTTATTAAAAAATATTTATCTCATATTAAATTATTATTTTTATTTTTCACATTCATTGTTTAGTTTATTTAAAAATATTATTTCTAAAGAGGAAGTATAAATTCAGGTTTCTTAATTAATCCCGGCCAATGGTGGGATTCGAACCTGGGACCCTTAGATCCACAGGCAGAGACTCTACCACTAAGCCACTCACCCCCTTTTAATTGTTTTCATTGTTTTTTAAATTTATTGTTTTTTCCTTTCTTTTTTGTTATATTATTCATTTTGTTTTTCATTGTGTTGTTTGTTTTTATTGATTTTATTTTATTTTTTGTTTTTTATTATATTTGTTTTTAATATTTTTGTTTTTTTTTTCCTTGTTTTTTAATTGTTTTGTTTTTTGTTGTTTTTTAATTGTTTTGTTTTTTGTTGTTTTTGATGTTATTGTATTTTTTTGTTTTTGGTTGTTTTTTAAAATTATTTCCATTGCATTTATTGTTTTTTAAAATTATTTTTTCTTTTCTTTTATTGTTTTGTTTATTTTATTTATTGTTATCTTATTTATTTTGTTTTTCATTGGTTTGATTGATTTTATTGAATTTTTTGTTTTTTATTATATTTGTATTTTTTTGTTTTTATTATTTTTGTTTTTATTGTTTCTTTATTGTTTCATTGTTTTTTTTTGTTTTTCTTTCTATTGTTTTTATTGTTTTTATTGCTTTTATTGTTTTTATTGTTTTTATTGTTTTTATTGTTTTTATTGTTTTTATTGTTTTTATTGTTTTTATTGTTTTTATTGTTTTTATTGTTTTTATTGTTTTTATTGTTTTTATTGTTTTTATTGTTTTTATTGTTTTTATTGTTTTTATTGTTTTTATTGTTTTTATTGTTTTTATTGTTTTTATTGTTTTTATTGTTTTTATTGTTTTTATTGTTTTTATTGTTTTTATTGTTTTTATTGTTTTTATTGTTTTTATTGTTTTTATTGTTTTTATTGTTTTTATTGTTTTTATTGTTTTTATTGTTTTTATTGTTTTTATTGTTTTTATTGTTTTTATTGTTTTTATTGTTTTTATTGTTTTTATTGTTTTTATTGTTTTTATTGTTTTTATTGTTTTTATTGTTTTTATTGTTTTTATTGTTTTTATTGTTTTTATTGTTTTTATTGTTTTTATTGTTTTTATTGTTTTTATTGTTTTTATTGTTTTTATTGTTTTTATTGTTTTTATTGTTTTTATTGTTTTTATTGTTTTTATTGTTTTTATTGTTTTTATTGTTTTTATTGTTTTTATTGTTTTTATTGTTTTTTTATTGTTTTTTATTGTTTTTTTTATTTTTTTTTTTTTTTTTTTTTTTTTTTTTTTTTTTTTTTTTTTTTTTAATTTGGTGTCATCGGCGTCGACTACTATGGCCATTAGCCTCGTGTTCTGTGTAGGCTTTGTTACTGTTTCCCAGCGCCACTTTAGGAACAGCACTGTTAATTAGAACCCAACAGTGAATGGTTGAGTGGGGAATCCTACCAAGGCATCAGAATTAATTTTAAATAATTAAATTAAATGAAAAAATCCCGGCCAACGGTGGGATTCGAACCTGAGACCTTCCGATCTCAAAGTCATGACTCTAACCACTGAGCCAACCCACCCCCCCTGTTTTTTTTTTTTTATTGTTTTTTTTATTGTTTTTTTTTTTTTTTTTTTTTTTTTTTTTTTTTTTTTTTTATTGTTTTTTTTATTGTTTTTTTTTTTTTTTTTTTTTTTTTTTTTTTATTGTTTTTTTATTGTTTTTTTTATTGTTTTTTATTATTTTTTTATTGTTTTTTGTTGGTGTTTTTTATTGTTTTTTTATTGTTTTTTATTGTTTTTTTTATTGTTTTTATTGCTTTTTATTACTTATTATTGCTTTTATTTGCCTTATTACTTATTTTTCGTTATATTTAGCTTATTTCTTTAACAATTAAAAAAATCCTACCTGGTCTCCAAAACATCCTATATAAGTATTTCGTGAGTCTGTCTTACCTGGTGTGTCCGTAGAAGTATAGTACGATACTGGAAGCCAAAACTAGTAACGTTGATAAGATGTACAGCGCAAACGTGACTTGCGAATTGAGTAAAAATGGCGTCGGGTTTCCGAAATTGTAGACCTTAGCGTTGTGTTTTAGAAGAGGTAAAGCTTTCCATACTCCCACGACATGTACCTTAAAAAAAACAATACAAAATAATATATTTAGGTTAAGCCTCAATTTACAATAATTATTTAATTTTTTTTGTGACAACTGGCGATTATCTTCCAACATTATAATTATTATCATTATTATTTTTTAACGTTTTATAGTTGATATCTAAGTATTTTAATAAATCTACAGATATCCACTTTGTGGAGAGTGTAAGAATGTTTTCTTAAATAAACGTTTCTACAGCCATCCAACCCTTAACAGTTAACTACCTCTTTTTTTGTCAAGTCTGGATTAAGTTAAAAAAGTGGTTGTTTGGATAGGTTCCGTGCAAATAGGGACCTTGCCGAGAAAGTCAACATAACGACACTCCAAAGAAATCGAGAAACATCTTAATGCAATATAAATATACAGGATAATCGCTCTATAATTCACAAAAGTCTATATTGTAATACTGAAATAAATATTAAAGTATTACTCGATATTTAACATAAAAATTACTTACTTTATACAAGATAGACATCCCGGCGAAGCTGAGCAGTATGTGGATACCGTTGATGAGTAGTTGGAAGGAAAATATCAGTCCCAGACACTTGTTTGTGGCCCAAAAAAGAGCCGGATACCTTACCGAGTAGATGACCAAAGCTAAGGCCAAGTTTATGTATTCTATATTTACAGAGCTTGTAAATCCAGTCTCTGAAATAAAAAAAGGATGACATAATTTCATCAGTAGAGCAACTGGAAACTAGGTATAATCACATCTCCAAACGAATGTGTACCATCGATACAGGGTGTTTATTAATTGGGTGTCGATACTTAAGTTAATATCAAAATATTGGCTTTATTTGTTTAGAAGTTTCAATAATTTTATATACTTAAGTTGGAACCATATGGAAAACATTTTTATTATTGATTTTAGGAAAAAAAGTTATTCTTGATAAAAAGTCCTGCATGACCCAAAACCTAAAATACAGTCATCACATATCAAATTTTTCAAGCCGTATACGAGGTTTGTCAAAAAATATGAATTTTGCTCAGGAGTAAAGTACGTTTATTTTTGACAAAATCGAAAATTTTCATTAAGAAAAGTTGATTAGAATTGAATATTACATTCAAATATGCAATTACACCGATCTATCTGAAAAAACAGATTTTCTTATTTTTTTATAAACTCTACACTCTACACATTGATTGTAAATATCTGAAAACGTTATAAATTACGTTAGCTACTATAAACATGATACGCTTTCCTTTTGTTGATGTTTGTGAAGAATTTAGCAAATTTCTTAATGAAAATTTTCGTACTTTACTCTTGAGCAAAATTCATATTTTTTGATAAACCTCGTATACGGCTTGAAAAATTTGATATCTGATGACTGTATTTTAAGTTTTGGGTCATGCAGGACTTTTTATCAAGAATAACTTTTTTTTTTCCTAAAATCAATAATAAAAATTTTCCATATGGTTCCAACTTAAGTAGATGAAATGAAATAAGTATGAAATTGGTATAAGTTCCCAGACTATAATTAAACAATGTTAATCTTATTAGTCTGGAGGATTATTCACAAAAAATAATTATACTCATCAAAATAACAGGATAGTTTTTATCTATACATTTTTTACAACATGTATACAGGGTGTACCAATAAAAACTCCCAGGCCGGATATTTTGGTAAGTAATAGAGATATTTTAATTCTGTAAAAGCCAGTTCACAGAGCACTAAGAGAGCTTCAGTTTGAGATATAAATTGATTTTAAATAAGTCAATATGTAGATGGCGCTGCGCTCAATAATTTCTTTTCGATGGGAGGATCTTTCTTGTGTAGCGCATCTTGTAAAAAATACATTTTTAAGCAGATTTTGTTCTATGAACTAATTCAACAAATCGAGCCATTTTTGATATACAGAGTGGGTCACCTAAAACAGTTTCATCCTGTTTTTCAGCATTAATCATTGGATTTTATGAAAATGCTAAAACAGGTCGATTTTTATTCCAAATTAAAAACATTTTTAAAATGCAGACATCTGTCATGTGTCAACCCCCACCCTTGTACTTCTCCAGACCTTAATTTTAAATAGGTAATGTACCATGTATGGCACATCATTGAAAAGGTAATTTAATGGGGAATCCATAAATATTTCTATACATTGTGTTACTTAAATTTTATCGCCCTCTAGCGGGATAAAAAATTACTACGTATTATAGAGTGTGATACTACAATGTGTAGTACATCATTAGAAAGGTAATTTTATGGGGAATTAAAAAATATGACTGTTCATTGAAATACTTTTAATTGTACCGCCCTCTATCGGGATAAAAAACTACGTATTTTAAAGTGTGACACCTTATTTGAAAGCAAATTTAATTACTAATTCAGTGTACCACATAACATTAATTATTAACATAATATTAATATAAATGTCCATATTGCAGTTTCAATAGTTTGAAAATTAGTCATGCATTATTTTAAACCTTATTGCTAACTTTATTTTGTTGCAAGTGCAATATGGAAATATTTATATTAATATTATGTGGTGCGTTGAATCAGTAATTAAATTAGCTTTTAAATGAAGTGTCACACTATATAATACGTTACAGATTTTTTTATCCCGATAGAGGGCGCTAATTTTAAAAGTATCGCAATAAACTGTCATATTTCTGACTTCCCCATAAAACTACCTTTTTAATGATGTACCGTACATGGTACATTCCTTATTTAAAATTAAGGGATTGGAGAAGTGGAAGGGAGGGGGTTGACACATGACAGATGTCTGTATTGTAAAAATGTATTTAATTTGGAATAAAAATCGATCTGTTTCAGCATTTTCTAAAAATCCAATGATTAATATCGAAAAACAGGATGAAACTGTTTTGAGTGACCCACTCTGTATATCAAAAATGGCTAGATTTATCGAATTAGTTCATAGAACAAAATTTGATTAAAAATGCATTTTTTACAAGATGCGCTACATAAGAAAGATCCTCCCATCGAAAAAAAAATATTGAGCGCAGCGCCATCTACATATTGACCTATTTAAAATCAATTTATATCTAAAACTGAAGCTCTCTTGGCGCTCTATGAACTGGCTTTTACAGAATTAAAATATCTCTATTACTTACCAAAATATCCGGCCTGGGAGTTTTTATTGGTACACCCTGTATACTGAAAATCAAATATTTTGAAAAGGTATTTCTAAATTTATTATCAGCAGCTTCCATAATTATGTTCTGTAATTATTTTCACTTGTTATTTTTCAAAGCAAAGTTTGTACTTCATCAAATCTTAAAAGGATAAGCAAAAATGTAGGTGGAAATAACCAAAAATTCTTCTTCGTTTTAAATAACAGTGTGGATTTAATTCAGAGACGTGTATAGTAAAAATAAAATAATTTTAATAATCAAAAATGAACAAATTTTAAAATATTTTTAATACCCCGTTTTAAGCCTAAAATAATTATTGACTGACTAGATAATTGCTAAATTCAAAACCGTATACATGTTAATTTCACTAAACAGTATAGTTAATTGTAGTTAAAAGTTCATCTAAACGGTTTTATATGCACAAACTGCTTGTAACGCAGTAAAATTACGGTTCTGAGCTAATTTAAACCAAAAGTGCAATTAACTTGCCAAAACGAGATAATTAACTGTTTAAGTTTAAAGTTACTAAAGTTGTATGCAATCATTATTTATCGTACATAATGATTTATACGGACTTGCCGCTAGTTATTTTATAAAGTTCAAGAATAATATATGGAGTGTCTGATAGAAGGGTATTTTTTAAAAAAATATAATTTTTATAGTTAGACTATGCCACTCATACCCAGGGTGATTCTTATTGAATTGTACACAGAGTAATGATAAAATCCTGACACCAAATATGTCCTAAGTAAAATGTTAATACAGTAATGTATGGATAGTCCGAATCCCCCTTAATCCGAAATAATCTATAATCCGAACGCCCCAATTGCGTAATAGTATATTGTGACGAAAAATGATTTTCGACAAGTAAAACACTATACTTTTTTTACGAACTCTATTATGTCATGTAGGTACCTACTAAAATGAAAAAAATAACAAACGTTAGCAAATGCTTTATTTTGTGTTAGGAATAACAAAAAATTAACCAACAATTAAATATTTCAGAAATATTATTTATTATTTAAATATTGATTTATTGTTATATTTGAACAATTGTTCAAAATTATGGGGGTATCACACTCAAGCTTTTTATTTGTTGAGGTAGATGCCGACATATTTGTTCTACTGTTAAATGTCATTTCAGATGATGATGCGCCATAATCGGATGAACTAGTAGTTTCCTTATTTTGTACAGATTGTAAAATTTTGGTTTGTATTTGGTTTTTACTGTTCGTGGATTCATCAACATATCCTTCCGCAACACTACTAGATTTCCAACCACCGTGCTTTTTTAACAGAAGCAAGTCACCTCCTGCATCCACTAATAGCGTTGCAGATGTTCTGCGGAAACAGTGCCCAGTGTAATCTTGAGTATTCGGAAGCGTTAAAAACTGAGCAATTTCGGTAGGAAATTTACTGATTTTATTAATTCCAACAACCTGTCTGCTACACTTTCCATTCTGATAGTTAATAAAGAATCTTGAATTAATTTGATCCATGTTTGCGGGACGTAGGCTCATGTACTTTTTAGAAATATCATAAAAGGGTCCAGAAATATGAAAAGAACGCGGAACTTTTGTTTTTGTATTACGGATTTTAACTAACAGAATACTTCCAGTATCCTTTACATTGCTTATTGTTAAATCTTTTAGTTCGTGGCAACGACAAGCGCCAGATAATCCAAAAACTAATGCTACCTACAAATATTAGTAGTTATGTATTAAGTATTTGTTAAAATAAAAATAATAATTCCGTTACCTTTGTTATTAAATAATTATAGTCAGGTGCATTCTTTAGGAAAGTCTTTATGTCTTCAGGCGAAAAAATTTTGGATTTTTGGCTTTTAAAACCATCAGATTTTCTTTTCAAAAGCGAACGTAACTTTGGATATTTACTAATATCGACATCATTTTTAACAGAGAGTGTAGTTCTTAGCATCGAATAAATGGACCATAACGTCGACGGTTTAAAATTTGAACATATTTCTCCAAAGTATGCTAGTAGTACAGTTTCCGAAAATGATTTCACTTTATTTTTTTCTCTCCAGTCCAAAAATTTGATATAAATTTCTTCATATCTCTTTTTTGATTTGGCCGGTAATAAATCTGAAGGTTTCTTCAGCTTTAAAAATAATTTCTGGGGGAGTACAATCGCTTTCTGACTCAGACATCATGAAAATATGTTAAATTTAGGACGAACTGAAACAGACAGTTCTCAAAAGTGATAAAACTTCAAATAAACAAATGAAAACCAGGAAACTAGATGTAGACTATTTTTATTTTATCTTTAATTCATTAAAGTTTAGGTAAAAACGCATATAGAATTTAATGAGCATCTTTTTATTTCATTATTAATAATTATAAGCTGCCAAAATATTATACGAGGCGACTGATATATGAAAATATGTAACAACTTACTTTCGTCACTAGAGACGAAAGTAAACGTCATGGGATTTTTTCTCACTAGTGACGGAAATCAAGTTTTCGCTGAAAGTATCCTGTGGCGAAAGATGTCTTTTTGTAAGAGTTCGTAGAAAAAATTATATCCATAATCT